GAGGAGGCCAATGAACATCGCCAAACCTGGAAATAAGGCGACCAGGGAAGAGAGGGCGAATAACGTCCATGGATGCTCGGGCTGTGTGGGCGGTCGCCCTATCCTGCTGGAACCACACACGTCGGATTGGAACACGTCGCCGTCATAATTCAGGGAGAAAGAAGTTGGTGATCATGTCGACGTAGCGCTCTGAGTTCACGGTAACATCACGACCATTACCGTCTTCGAAGAAGTAAGGGCCATTGATGCAAGTTTGGGATACAGCGCATCAAACCGTTACTTTTGGGCTGTGCAGCGGTCTTTCGTGTAACTGTTGCGGATTTTCATTAGCGCAATAACGACAATTCTGCTGGTTAACCATGCTGTTTAGGTGACAGTGGGCTTCGTCACTGAAAACGCGGTGCTCCACCGTCCAAGACTCCATAACGACAACTGGTAAAATAATGCTAGGATCTCACGAGTCAAACGGCACCCTCCCCACCTCTCTTGTAGACGGAGGCGGAGAGTACTACCCATCCCAAAAACGTCCGTCCTCTCTGCCGCATCCTGTATATCTAACTGACTGAGAAATGTGTTTTAAATTTCATGTTTAATTATCGTCAAAGTTATTTAGTCTATCAAAGCAACATGATGATTAAGTAGGAATGTAACTTTTGTTAATCATGAAATGAATAAGTAGCCAAAAAAGGTCACCTTGGAAAAGGTTAGAGTTTATTATTACTGATTAATCCCTAATATTAGCCATGACAGGTGAGTTATATTTTTGTGTTTTGATTCATCCCATATATCAGCCTAAAAATAACGAACTATGATCATAGAGGTATTCTGGGAAATAAAAAAAAAGTAAAAATGTAAGAGAAATATGAAATATGGATACTTTGATAATACATCTACTAAATAATGTGTAACTATTTTTGTCCAGTTACTAACATATTCTCTATATTATATATATAACCCTTGAGAAAATATATGACGCCTACAGTGGATGAGACTAGATAAATAAAAAACTGTCAATCTCTTTCAAAAATAGATTGACGCATATCTTCAATTGGTATAAGCATAAGAAAAAAATAAAACACTACTTTTTGCGAAAATACGAAGTCCTCCCCAATTATTTCAACCAGATGATAGAAAAGTCTAGACGTAAAGCAGCAAAGCTGGGAATATTCCGATATTTTTTACCTTTTATTCCCAGCTTAAAAAATAAATAATGCTACATTGCTTTTTATCAAAATCGGCTCAACAAATTAGGTGCCAAGAAATCAAGATATCAGAAATTCGTAAAAAATATAAGCTACTAATATCATTGATTAGAGTACCCTACGTGAAGAGAATCAACCTAATACCATATGACCGCGTCCAAAAAATTATCCGAGGTGAAATGAGATACCGTAGCGTCATCTAAGAGAATTTGTCACAATTAAGATTCTCCTGTCCGCCCTAATTAAAAACTTATTTTGAAAAAGTTTACCGTCTCTCATAGATGGCGCTGCAGCCAACTATATTAGCATATAGTACATATTTGGCTACAGCGCCATCTATGAGACACTAACCTTTTCAAAATAGATTTCTAGTTGGTGCGGAAAAAGATGGTTGTGACAAACTATGATGGTGTCACGTTTCATATCGGAACTTCAGATAGAATATGTTAATTGAATCCAATACTTCAATAATAACTTTATAATAAATCCATATCCCTTTTTAAAATCAACAGTTCCGGCGCTGCTTTCTCACTCCCCCCCTAACAACTGATCGCCACACGGCCGGCCCCTCCTATGATTCCTATTCTCGGCATAGTCACTCTCCCGGCTATTTTGAAAAAAGGTGAATCACACCGCATAGTACGCGACACCGCGGCGTCGTCGGCGTGGGAATACGCTCTCACGCATTGCGTTCCCCAATTTTTTTAAGACACCTCTACTATCGGTGCACGCGCCGCTGACCTCACTTGGCGACCGACCCGCTGCAAGAGAACCGGCGTGAAATTATTTTGTTCAAAACCGTCCGCGGTAACGTGTCTGGTGATAGTGTAGTGCTTGTGAACACTTCGGAGTGTGCTCGGTGGAAAATTGTGTTTTTTTAAGTCTTTGATGCCACATAAAATTGTAGTGACTGCAACATGTTCATGTCAAACTTTATTTTTGAGAAAGTCCTTCTATAAGAGCATCTGTTTTTCTTAGGTCCCTCAGACGTTGTCAAGAATCTACGTTTTTCCATTAGATTCAATTCAACAAATATGTTCACTTTACAGTTTTTTTTAACAAGCTTCTATTACAAAAAATTGCTGCTTCAATTGACATAGTAGCGAATCATCATTTTGTTTCCTCAAAACATCAAACAATTCTTACTTCTTACTTACTTTAACTCATAACGTTAGTGTGTTCAGTACACATACATGTTGATAAACCTAGACCTATAATTTTATGTGGCTCTATTTAAACAGAATAGACCTTAGTGTAATCTAGAACTATTGTTCAAATTCCAAGATGTACTCCAATCTTTTTAAAAATTCTATTTTACTGCTAATTGCTTCAAGTATAAGATTTTGCCTCCTCTATTGTCAACCATAAATGATTCCTTAGACGAAAGTATGTAAAACATTTATTTTTGCACCGGCTTATCCTTGTCATGATCATATTTTTAGCTTTCATTAGAAAGACTTCAGGTGTAATATTTTGGACTCGTTCCACTTGTTTACTGTTGAGTCATTTTAAAATTTTTGCAGACGGCCAGTTGAGAAACACGACAGACTGTTGCTGTTACATGCCAAAACAGAATCATGATTCATCGATATTTGTAAGCGTTGAAATGATTTATATGGATTTTTCAATAAAGTTAATCTTATTTCTTTTGTTTTATTTTACTCGTGTAGGTACGTTGCTCAGAAACATCAAAGTTTGAACGGCTGTTGTTTTTTTTAAGTGGAGCATACTATAAGAGGATCCTCGAACTCCGCCAGTGGTTTTTATACAGCTTCTTCAAATTTTTTTTTTATTTTAATGATGAATGTAATCCTGTCGATGGACGTGCTCAACATCTACATATGTATGATCACACTTCTGTGCAATAAGTAAAAAACCAAATCCTAGCCCAAAGCTTGATGAAACTTCTGGAAATCGGTTCGATTGACCAAGTTGGATGAGAAAGTCCCAAGATGCATATTATTTTATAAAATAACGACGTTGACGAATATGTCTGATAAAGCATTAGCTAGGTAGGTTATAATAATATTTCAGTTCGTGCCAAGAGGTGCACATCGTTTTTCCGTGAGACGTCCAAATTTAGATCGGTAACGCTATACGAAAACGTAAAGATTAAAATAGTTCACAGACCGTGTGTAACACTGCACACGACCCCACGGCTGTTTCTCCGGTATAAACTAAAAGAGATTTTTGTTTGTTTGAATTTAGATCGTACAGAAATATACATCTGGTGTGGTAGCAGACGCTGTTCGAGGTAGTCGTTGCTCAAAATTTTCTGTAGGCTATTTTCAGTTTCCTTTGATCACTAGCTTGTTGAATATTAATCTGGAATATCCTTTGAACGAGTTTTGATCGCTTGAGCTAACATAGGGAAGATAGAACACATCATCGTATTCTATTTTTGTATCTATGTGATCAGTAAATGGAATCGCAGATGACGAATTGATGACTTTACTAACGTTTCGGCTGCTACGACAACCTTTTCACAGGACAGTATCGAATACTTTTATGAAGGTTGATGGAACAGTCGAAACGGTGATAAAGTTATCAATTAACTGTGCTTCTATATACTGCTCAAATATAATTTGACAGGGTTATCTTTCCTGGTAAATGAGCAATAACATGCGCATTTGTACACAGGAAAAACCGAGAAAAATAATACTGGATCCAGAAAACTACCTTTCTCAACAGTGATCTACTAGGATTATCGTTGCTCAATTTTATTCTACGGTTGACGCATAGATGTCACTGCAATCTTGCTTGTGAGTCGCAAATAAGCTTGCTATGTTTAGAAAATATTTATTGCCTTCCACAGGTTCATGTTGAAACAATGGAACATTTTTTTGAATTGTAGAGTAAATACAAATATGGACGATGTTTTATAATTTTATCTGTACTTTTATAACGCAAGTGGTGAATATTTGATAGCAATCATTGGAGAGAAAATTCGCCAGCAAACGCATAAATCCTCCTTGTCAATTATAGTGGCGTCTATTTTGTTGGCAATTTTTCAGAGAAGCCTCAACATTTATGATATTGTGCAGGCCTCTAAGATTTCAATGTAGGCTTCATGCACAAAACGAGAGTAAAAAAATGTCATGAAAACCAATTTAACACCTCAACCATTTTGAAACACAGTACAGAAAGTATCTGTCATATTCTGCTTCTAACCACCCTCCAAAATACCGAATATCGACAACGCCGTGTAGTATGGTAAGTTTCAGGAAATATTAGTATCACTTTCATACGTCAAATTGTTGCGAATAAATCGAGGTCTAATTTGCTGCCGACTGTACATCAGTGTTACGTTTTTCCAATATACGATCGTTGTATAGTATTGGTCTTAGTATTCCCATCACATGTAATCTATCAGTTGGACGTATATTTTTCGAGTTATTCTTTACACCTTGTTATAGAGGATGGCAGTTTGTACATTGTAAACTCATAGGTAATAACAATAGCAGTTTATTAAATAAATTATAGCATTTATACATATTTATGACAAATATAATATACAAACTAGGGGCAGCATTCAGCGCGATTAGTGCCAAAGCTGGATTCATTCCTATACGTATATCACTTGGAATTTGAACAACAAAAGTGAGATTCAATAAGAAAAGCTGAACCACCTCTAGGTCGATATTCCAAACCGCCCAGGGTGGTTCCCAACGCTAAGAAATATAGAAATAGCAGACCTACTTAAAGCCAGCCGAGAAAACAACAATAACCATCAACGATTTTTTTGTAACGAATATAGTAACATACTTTTTTTGTGATTTGGGGTGTTTTATTTCTTACTTTTGACGATCAGCTTTGCGGAGCGCTCGACTTGGCCTGCCGAGGAGGTCGCTCTGCATGTGAACGTGCCAGAGTCTTCTTCGTAGGTTGAGGATATCAACAGGATGGCGTTGTTACCCTCTTGGATCGTCTGGAACAACAGAAATGTGTTTTCAGAACATTGCCGAGAAAAAGGATTGTTTTAAAATCCTGATTTATTAATTGAATTCATTTCGAAAACCACTTCAATATGCTTTATTCACTGAAAACGCTTCATCAAAGGTAGATAGCTAAGCTGGGTATATGTGTACTTTGTCAGTTAAAACGTTCATTGCATAAACAACAAAAATCCCTGGCGGTTTTGTATGCACTACTCGACAGCGGGTACTTGAATGTTGTATTGTCATATGAACCAAAATATCAATTTTTATTGTGCAATTAATTAAAAAATAAGACTACAGGCGCACACGGGAACACAATATCTATTTTGTCTCATCCGGTTTGTTCGAAATCACTTGTTCGACAGTTTTCTTAATCCCTACAAAAAACTCAATCTTCCTCATTAGTATTACTGACAAAGTCCTATACGTTGAATATTTTACAGAGGTATCCGTATAGATAGTATACAAGAAAAGGAATTACACTCACAGCACCCATCTTGCAACATTGTTTTTTTTTCGGAAAAATGCATTTTGCTGTAGGGTAGACAAATAAGTGGATTCTTCTAACACCTGTTTGGCGATTATTGAAGATGTTTGGACGAATATGTCTATGTATCTTTTCAAGACAAGGGCGGATTTAGAGGGGAGCGCGCCCCCGAGACGCTCGCGCCTGCCATTTTTTCAAGTAAATGATATATATTGTTACGTCTTAGCGCAAAATTCCCTTGCTAGACCTAAATCGTGAGAACTGACCCCCCCTAGACCTGTACCATCCCCCGAGATGAACACCATACTGCGCCCCCTTGGACAGATTCCTAAATTCGCCTTTGTTTCACAATTTTCGATTTATGATTTGGGTATTAAATGGAAATACGATCTTCCCAGTGTATTCGCTGTGCCTGGCTTTCCCCTAAACACTGTAAAGATATTAAAAGGTGCATCATTAAAACATGTGGCATGTTAATAAGTCAATCCTGAAAAAGTATATTTTTATTAATGAGCAATAAAAAATATGATAGGATGAGTTCTATACCGCTGACCCTATTTCCTGCTAAAATAACGCTTCTTACGTTATCACTAATAAACTGTGAGGGTTATTAGACATTTCAATGTTTTAATACTTAGATACTGTATTAAGCCGAAAAGTGCCTTAAATAGTTTATTTAACAGTTTAAAATTCAAATCTTGTGAGGTTTTTGCAATTAACGATTTAATTATCCCCAGTATGACCACATCCGCTTCGGTGCAGTTTCCAAAATGCTTTCGTGATTCAGAGTTGCCATATGCACGTATTCCATGGACAACTGCGTGAAAAGAACTGAGTCAACCTACTTGACACTATATTCCTGCTAATAATCCCGTCAAATGCCTTAATTTTCAGTTTATATCGATATCTCCTCCATTAAATTCATCAAAATCGTAGAGGCTATTGCGGGTATACGAAACGACTGAAGAGCTACATAAAGGATTGAATTGTAGGCACACATGGTAGCATTTTGACATCTGCCATCAAAATAATGAACCTTCCTTCATCCGGTATCAAATTATTTTTAATGTTCAGGGGCGAATATGCAATTAAGTTGAGATCGCTGGATGTGATATGATCTCGAATGAAATAATTAGCTCATTTGACTAGCCGCTGTTTGAGCCCTAGATTTTATAAATAGCTCGTAGTTTTTTCCAAAGGTCGTTATGCCTGCTCCTATTATATGCAGTGCTAAATTACAAATTTTGTTTTCCCAACAGTCGTTTCGTAACCGCCAATCCTGGATACAAAAGCATTACAGCATTTACAAAGTGCTTTCCGCCATTTCGACTTTTGCATGTTCAGGCCAGGATATAAGAATTTGAAGTGAGTACGCTCATATCAAATTGTACTATCCATCCGTCATTAAATGTTAAGCATGACTAATTCAATATACGATAAATTTCATTTTATTTTTAGTCAGCAGATTATAGCAATCTGTACGTGTTAAATAAATTTTCCAATGAGAATTTGAAATTCAGAATTTTGCGCACTGCTGACATTTTAAACTTTGTCTAATGGTGGGCGACTTTCAATCACCTCATCGACTAATGGTTCACGTATTTCAAATATTTATATTTTGCGCAATATAAAAATTTTCCGCTTTTATATAAATTTACGATTAACAGCTTACTGTAAACAACTTTTGTGCTAAGAAAACAAATCAGACTTTCTTCTCTTCAATCATATGTAGCTGGAAACATTCATTTATTTTTGTTCTGGAACACGATGATTTTTTTATTTGATATATGGATTTTCTATATTTATTAGATTAGTTAAATCGCTATATTGACCTCTGAAGTTAAAATGTTATTTTAACTTTGGTCATAAATAAAGGTACACACTTTTTCTATTTTCATTACGTGTATTTTTCTAGAGAAAAGTCTTGTTCTTTTCCCAGTTTGGTTAGTTCTAGGAGAAAAGCACGCTACGCAAATATTTTTCCGGATACATTGATTTTCTACCGACACATGCTGCAAGTTAGTTTGGTATTTATTTTTCTGTTGAATAGACAAGATATGAAAATAGTATCTCATTAATTTTGTTCAGCTTAATTTTGGATACATTTCTATTCGTCATTGTCTGTCAGAGCCATCCGTAGGACCTTTGCCCTTGATTAAAGTCTTGTAAGTCAGTAGGTCTGTCAGGTCTGGTTGCCCAGATACCAAACAAAGTCGGGGAGAAAGAAGGGAAGAAGAAAGGAAGGAAGGAGGGAGAGCAAAGAAAAAAGAAGTGCGTCAATTTGAGGAGTGCCTTGGCATTGCTAATTAGTATTTGGCAATTTTAAATCGATCCTAAAATTAATTTTGGGATTGGTTGTTGAAGAAAAATTATAATTTTGGTTGGACCTAAAGTCGCACGATTTAATTTTGTTTACAGTGCGAGTCGCGGCCTTTTGTGCTTGCGAACTTGCCCGACTGTGTAGTCTACTGACTCACGCAACAAATGGTTGCTGTGCGATTCCGCTTGACTATAACGTAGCTGCGCTTGTTGTTTGATGTAGTTCCTTAGGTAAGGGATGTCAAGGTCTCTGTGAAGGGTTTCGTTGGAAACATACTATGGGGCGTTAGTGATTGTACGCAAGGTTCTGTTCTTCAAAACCTGCAGGCTACGCAAATGCGTTTTGGCGAGAAAACACCAAGCCGCACTTGCGTAAGTGATCGCTGGTCTAATGACCATCTTGTATAGCCGAACTTTGTTGACCAAACTTAATTTTGATGTTCTATATAGCATAGGGTAGAGTTGCCGAAACGAGATTTGGAATTTAGTTTTTAACGCTTCAGTGTGCTTCTGCCAGGTGATCCCCTTGCCAAGAGTGACACCGAGATACTTAGCAGAGCTTTCCCGTGGTACCCGAGCTCCATTCACTGAAACCTCAGACGGGGCGCCGCTACGTTTTTTAGTACAATAGATTGCCTGCGTTTTCGAATGATCAGCCACCGATTCGCCCATTCCAATACCGCGTCCACTGCACTTTGCAGCCTGTCGTGAACTAGATCCCCAGAACACGACTGCGCCACCAGGGCAATGTCATCAGCATAGAGATAGATTTCACAGTTGCTTTGGCAAGGGGCGTCATGATTAAAAAGTGAATAAAGGACTGGTGCAAGAACCGAACCCCGAGGGACACCGAATTTGATGGGCTGTGTTGTCGACAGAACGTTATTAATTTTGATCCGAAATTTCCTACCCTCTAGGAAGGATTTCTAAAGTTTTAGGAGCCAGAAGGGGAAGCCCCTATGGATCAATTTGTAGAGAAGGCCCTTGTGCCACACCTTGTCAAATCAGAAGCAAGATGCCAGTACTTTCGTTACTGATGAACCCCCTGGTTACTCGTTCAACAAGCCTTATGGCCTGTAGCTCCGTACTATGCTCAGACCGAAAGCCAAATTGCACGTCAGGAATCACATTGTGGTCTGACGAGAAATTTTCAAGGTGACGAATCACATTTTCAGCGAGCTTAGAAGGAGATGACAGTAGACTAATGGGGCGGTAATCCTGGGAGAATATCGAACCCACCTTCTTTGGGATCATTATGACATCAGCGGTCTTCCACGCCGCTGGGAACGTGTGATGTTGATAGAGCATGTCATCTACAAAACGTCCTAACTTTGACAACATGTTTAGCCAATTGATTACCGACTTTTGTGTCACTTTTTGAATGATAAAGGCGCGTACAAATGTTGAGCTTGGCTTTTACTTTTGTTCAACTTTCTGCATTTGCTGTGAAATATTCTGTATACAATATTGCCTCTTCAACTGGTAAAGGACATGTGCTACGTATTGTGATTTACACAAGGCAATATTTTTTATTCACGAATTAATGGTAACAGTTTATTTTAAGAACGTTACATAGATACAAATACGCTGAAATTTACAGCTGTGACCAGCTGCAAAAGGCAATAAACTTATTTATATGGACCTGTTATTTAAGATCTCTTTTTGGTATTAAATGTAACAGCAGAGCCATAAATATGTCAATGCCATTTGGAACATAATTCAGTTTCTAAATTGTACATGTGCAGGCTTTTGGACATTTATCCTCATAATGTGTGAATCTTATTGTTATTTTTTTCTTCAATACTATCTATACAACTATAACTATTGTTATATTTTTAAGTTTGTTCCAAGTTCTTCTTGCCACTTGTTTAAATTATAGCAGCAGCGCTGTAATATACAGGTTCAGGTTAGCAAATTTTATCACTGGATTTATTTGCCGACACATCCTTTTGGGATAGAGATCTGCGATAATGATGATGAAAAGAAACGCTTTTTTTTGGACTGGTTATATAGGGTGTCTCAAAATGGTGTGCGGATACTAAAGAGTAGTTATATCAAGATCAGACACCTCGTGGGATGTCTTCGATTTCTTCTGCATTATAGTACAGGAGCTGGCCGCAAATTTTTTGTTACATGATCGCGTATGATACGATGAAAACTGGTCGAATCTTACGTATACGATGC